TATATATATATATATATGTTAGGGGGAGGGGCTAGTTGCGCCAAACCGTGTCCGTTTTGTCATCGACGTCACAATGGAATGAACATTTTAAAGGGTTTTTAATCTTGGTATTGAAATCCTACCAAGGAAAATCATCCAGGAAAAGATGTTAGGGGGAGGGGCTAGTTGCGCCAAACCGTGTCCAGTTTGTCATCGACGTCACAATGGAATGAACATTTTAAAGGGTTTTTAATCTTGGTATTGAAATCCTACCAAGGAAAATCATACCAGGAAAAGACTAACGAACTTGAACAGCACGAATGCCAGAAGTGGTCACTTGTTTGAAACGAGTATGGCACCTTCAGAGTCAAATGCTATACTTCAGGATTTCCAATCCTCTTGAGTCTTTATGAGGAAAAGCTCGAGATTGTTGACCGGATTACTAACCTGGTGAGGAGCAAGCCGTGATTGCGTTTTGGCCGAAGTCAGAGCACGCAGTAGCAAGGTGAGCGCAATATTCTCCAACTTGTGTCAGCTGTGGCACCAAGGACGAATTTCGCCTAGGCTGATGACTCGCACATTGTGAAAACAATATTGCACTGCATGGTCTCCAAACATTTGCTGATCGGTACCTTCGTCACTTGGCAGGCGTAAGCCAGTTGCAATTTTCGCGATGAAACGGTGCGTATGATTGAGATGGCTAAACGGTTCATGCTAAAAGCTACTGACCATAATGTCGAATCACATCCTGACTAGCAGAGCGCTTTTGTCTAGGACTGAGCAACTTGGCATCATTTCAGCTCTCGCACTTCCATCGAGTTGCACTACAGGTGGACGACAGTTAGTCGGTCTGCCGAAAAGCACCATTTTCCACTCCTATACTGTCAGCAAACAGATTCCAGGTAGCAAACTATGATTTGGCCATGCGATGTAGGAATGGCTACAGCCGAACAGAGTGCAGTTGCATTTCCTTGGTTGGGTTCACTGAAATTCACCTTGATGTAGCCATAAATCTCACATTGCTTTGTGGAATTCAGCAAGGTATTTACTGTTGACACTGGTAAAGATCGTGAGACATTGCCTGGACAAAGTGATTTTGAGACCGTTCCATCCTGTTTTGCAGATGTAATGCAAAACATCACAGTTGTGTATTCCAGCTACTTCCCGATCCATATAAGTAGCCTAAATTTGATGCGACAGCAGCTTCCAGGCTCGAGATGTAGTGCTACATGCATCTTTTGGACGTACGCTATTCCTTTCTATCCAATGTGTTTGTGACACCTTGAAAATTCAGCTGATGCCAATGGTTGGAACAGTTTCGGAAGCAATGGGTGTGACCGGACGAAATATAACCCCGTTACGGGCAGATGCTGTTCTGTGTCCATTTCCACAAAAACGATTCCGTATCTGTCACTGATTCATCCCGAACGAATATTTGCATGGTTCTCGAACAGTTCTCAAACTTTAGTTGTGAATCACTCTGAGTAGATAGGATTCGTTAGTCGCTAACTTGGTTCTTTACTTGGGGCAATAGGGAAAAGTTGTAGTCCTGGTATGACTGACGGCTTTCGAACTAATCTGCCTGATGAGATGACTTATCAGCCACTATGGATGGAATGTAGCGACTGAGTTGTGGTCCTACTGTATTAAATATAATAAAATAAGATAATCGTTCAGCTGTAACAACCTCTTGGTGCCTAGCTACCACGCCACCCGAAGGGAGCACAAGGGCTTGGGTACTGCCAGGTTGTCCAGGATTAGACAGAAGTCGGGTTCGAATCACGGACGTTCTGGCGAGCATATTCGCGCTCCAAACAATGAGTCAAGTCGACCCTTTATAATTCAACATTATTTTGTAATACCTATACTACCGGTAGAATGGTAATCCAGTGATAGTTCTGATTATATATATATATATGTATATGTATATATTCCTCGGCATCCTCTGCGAAGCACGTTCATGTGAGGGATATCATAAACAGCACATTCAGATACGATACAGCTGAGTCTCCGGTTAACCCCAACTGAAATGGCGAATGAGTGCTTGTCTTTTCAAGTAGTTCATACTAGCCGCATATGTTTTAAAAGCCTATTTTGTTCGGACGATTTCTCTTGGATACCGTCAAAGACGAACGATGTTCGAGTTCATGATTTGTAACCGAAAACCCAAACTTAATACACAAACTCCAGTGTTACTTCTGTCTATATCCAGTTTGGTGGCTGTCAATAAGTGAATTAAAATGGTGATTTTGCGGTGTTAAAGTAGAGGTGATGTTGTATGTCTCTTTTGTACTATGTTAGATATTTACTCATAGTACAGATGTTTGCTATAATTCAGAACTACCTGCCAACTCGTGCGCTTTGCATCGAATACTGCAGATATTCGCACAACAAAAACATGATAAAATAGTCGAGTTCCCCGTTGGCACAAGGGACTGACTCCTCTGTCAAGACTTGACTAGTTGTGCTCCAACTACTCGTTCACAAAAAAGGCATGAAAAGCGACGGTGCGGATATCCACAGTTCTATAAAAAGAGGCCTTTGGAACAATGTCAAGATGAAGGAAGATGCTGCATAATGCGTGAACACGTACTCGATTCATAAAACACCTTTTTCAATAAATAAGAATAATGGTAGGATAGGGTTGTGGTCGTATAGGGAGGCGCAGCTCTGGCCTTGTCAATGCAGTGGAAACGTTGGATAAACAAGGGTGAGATGTGTTAGTGACTGACCGAGACTGGAAAGATAAGCAGCTCGACTGTTCGTGTTCAGTGAGAACCCCAGTAAAATCGGAGTTATTTTCCAAAACCTACAAGATAACTAGAGAAGCGACAGAACGAATAGCACTGATCATTGCCCCCTAGAATTCTTCATTGTTTCCACCCTAAAACATCTCCCTAACTAATCTTACTAGTTTGTACGGAACCTTATTACTAGAACTGTTTGCCATCACAAGCCGTAGGCGGTTACAGAAACCAAATGCAAAAGAGCATTAACGCTAGAAATCCGGTGGCGTAGAAAACGCAGAAAGTAAGCTAATACTGAAAGCACGGAGTGATAAAACCAAAGTGTAAACAAGAAGGAGCCGATGCAAACGGAAATTCGGACACCCACATGGATGCAGTGCTGCACTCATAAATGCGGTTTTTCAAGTTGAACACCAGTCAAAGTGCAACCGTCATCAGCATCGTGTCATCACCTACAGCATAACATCAGCGTTCGACACTGATGCTTCGCAGCCGTAAATTAGAGCGCAAAATGACTTTGTGGCATTTTGTCAATGCTAGTCTGACTGACTTTTTGAACCGTTTCTTTGAGTGAACATTTTAAGAACTGGCCTCAAACTAGGGTTTTCAATCAAACCCAATAAAGATAACACTTGTCCTGCTCCGCGATTGGTCCTATTCGCCGAGAACGTCACAAACATGTTGGGATCCCGGAAACCTTATTATGACTGGAATAACACAAAACTAAAACCCACCAGGAAAATATCCAGCATATTCTCTTTGGTCACGTGAGAGGGAATTCCGATAGGCGAAAGCAGTTCATGAATTCGGATCACCAAAAGTTGCTTCATACGAGTGAAAACAGTCAACTCGTCCGGCCATTTGCCTGACTGTTCCAAAGTAATGATAACTGAAAGGAAACAAACAGACAGATAATTTTTAGGGACAGACTTTCCAAGAGATCCTGTCTATCGAAAATTCGATACAAGAGATGTATTATGGTTGACTAGTAGGCCATTGACCCGTTCGCCGAGCTTAGTAATCAACTTGCCAGTATTGCCATCTTGAGGGGTTGGCTATCTGATGAGTAGATTGTTTTCATCTCCACAGGTGTGTGAGCTAATATGTTCTCCGGAAAGTCCTTGTTACCTTGCAGTGTCGAATACGAAACAAGCTAAACACGGCCAACCTCTGGTTTGGCAGAAAAGTAGGAAAGTCTCTATCAGTGAGGTTTCATTCACTTTGGTAGTTGCCGCATCCCCGAATGAGAATAAAGATACACAGACGAGTACATTCGTGGACAAGAATTCTCTATTGCAGAACATAAAGCAAGTTTTTTTTTCTGGGTATCCACCACGCTCCAAAAGAAATTAGGTAACCGACTGAGACGCCGCAAGGCTTTTGGAGCTGGGTGTCCTCAAAATGTTGTCTGTTCTGAATGGCTGTTGCAAGTCTTCTGAAAGGAGTCAATGTGGTAAATATCTAGCAAAATATAGACTGGAAGATCTGATCGAAGCCATCCCACCATGTTACAAGCGAGATGAAGTGGAGCAAGCCATGGTCGGTAATGCATACGTATCCATTCTAAGTTGTGCCCACCAGAGAACAAATATGTAACGTAGTAGACAGTTTGGATAGTATTAACTGGACTGTATTGTTTACACAGGAATACAGCAAATGCACACCTCTGTCAAAGGTGTAAAGATAACTTCGGAGCGCTTACCATATAGGGGGAAAATCGGCGAGGTGATCTTCATCAGTTCCACTCTTTCTTGCTCACCGTCGGCTTTACGCTTGCGCCTATATGCTGCCACAGCAGATGTGGACGGAATGCAGAGTCCTGGTGCAAACACTTCCGTATCACGAAACGCAGCTGAAATGGGTAGTATTCCAGTCACATTCAACGGGAGTTTGTCGTTCAGGCCTCGCAATAATCCGCGTAATCTGTCCATGGAACGAATAAGGCGTAGAGAAGAAGTCGTGGGATACGGATTACCAAGAAGGGTTGGGTGCGCAGTCACGAGGGCGTTCAAGCGATCTGAACTGAGTTGATTCCAAGCCCAATTGTTGAAGGAGCCACGAACCAGCTGAAAGCGACTGAAGCATAAAGTGGTTGCATATTTAAATAACGCGCTTCACTTGGTCAGTATGCCGGCGTTTTTGTGAAGTGTCACAAACAAGGAACTGTTTGAATAGTCCGAAGGACCAACGACTTCAATGCAAGCATGCCTGTTCGATGCTACTCAATCACAACGGTTTTATGCTCCAAAGTAGTACACGACGCAAGGCAATGGAGATCAAGTATGTTAAACGGGTAAACAGAGAAAGGTAAAAGGATGATGGGAGTGATTGTTCAATACCTAACTAGCAGCGGTGCATAAGCGACAGTTCATGCTGTGAGCTTTATTCAATAATCGTCAGACGGGTGTCATGCAAAGTGTTTCTAAATGTCATAAAGACGTTCCGAATAGAACGCAGATAGCTTCAACAACTATCAAACCCCCTACTGCTCAACAGGAAAGTAAGAAGGCCACTCAAAGCACGAACGTAAAACTATTGGAACAGCGAATATATTATCAGGAATCCCTGCTG